CGAGATAGGGAGGGAGAGAGAGAGAGAGAGAGAGAGAGAAACAGAGAGAGAGAACATGTCAGAAGTATTTGAGGAAATGCAATTAGAGTAGTGGTATGGGCAGCCCGACTGTTAACAAGTATAAATGGGTGGTATTTAATGAGCGTTTACTGCATGCCTGCCCCTGTTCTAAGTGCTTTCTGTGTTTTGATTCACTTAATCCTTTCAAGAGCGGGAGAAGGAGGTCCTGTTTTTCCTATTTTGCGGATAAATCCCAAGAAGACAGGAACACTAAGTGTGAGACCACATACCTTTTTGGGGAATCCAAACAGCAGGAGCCCCAGTTTCATGCTCTAGAGCAGGGTTTTCATGCTGCCTTGTGGTGCTACGGAGGGGAAGTCGTCTCGTCCCTTCACCTCAACTCCCAGCAAAGCAGCTCTGCTTTTCTTCCAAATAACTTTTTTTTTTCCAATTTTTTTTTAAATATATTTTATTGATTTTTTACAGAGAGGAAGGGAGAGAGATAGAGAGTTAGAAACATCGATGAGTGAGAAACATCGATCAGCTGCCTCTTGCACATCTCCTACTGGGGATATGCCCGCAACCCGGGTACATGCCCTTGACCGGAATCGAACCTGGGACCTTTCAGTCCGCAGGCCGACGCTCTATCCACTGAGCCAAACCGGTTTCGGCTTCCAAATAACTTTTAATTTGAAGAAAATGCTACTCAACTTACAAAAGTTTACACTCAGCTTGCCCACTCTAAACAATGATCTCCAAGGAGACAACTGTCCCAAAGCAGGTGAAGTTCTCCACCACAAAGTGACTTCCGGGGGGGCCCAGCCTGTGAAAGAGTCTTACTCGACCTTCAGAGTGTTTGTTAAAACTTAATAACTTGCCAGCACTTTTAAAAAATCATGCGATTTCACATAACAATCTGGACCTGGCACCACAGGGCCCACCTTCCCGCATGGCACGTCTCAACATCCCCACGTGGGGCCCTTCAGGCATGGACATTACCTGCTGGCTCTGTGGGCATCTGAGCGTGCCAGCCCCGCTCGGAAAGCTTGAGTCCTCCTTCTAAATGCATGTGCATGCCAGGCTACCGCATCCTGGTCGGAATTCCTCCAGAATTACGTTCTTCCCAACGCAGCTGGCCCTTACACAAGTGTCCTGACCCACCTCTGACTTCCAAGGAGCTGGCCAGCCTGCTGCTCAGCAGTGGCCTGTGGACATTTGGATGAAGGTTACCGGGCACTGGATGCCATCTGTCTTTAACCAGTAGATGTACGCCAAGGGCCTCAGACCTCAGCTTCTCCAAACAGTTTAGATTATTTTATGAATGGCAGACGCATGAAGGAAAACAATTTAAATTTTCAAACGATACAACTTATTAAAGATAACATGTTCTGTGAGTGTATTACCCTTTTTTTTTTCTTTTTTTTTCTTTTTTTTTGGCCCTGAGTTTATCTCTTCCAAGTAACCAAAGGGCAAAGCGTCTGCTTCAGGTCCTTCCCTGGGGTTGCAAACATTGTCATTACCAGTCTCTCCACCCTTTTTCTGATTTTTCAAACCTAGATGATAGATCTAATATCTGCCATCATCCAAATCCTTCTTAGTTAGACTTCAAGGTGTGTATCCAGTTTGGTCCTCCTCAACCCAAGTGATAGGATGCAAAATTCCCACAGCCAAGGAGGTCAGGGTTAGCGTGGGGCCTGGCTCCCTTCCTGGCCAGCTGTGCGGCTTTATTCAAAGCCATCTAACCTCCCAGAGCCTCAGTGTCCTTGCCGGAAAGTGGAGGTAATAACCACCGGTCGTTCGGCCAGCCAGTTACCCTCACTGAACACCCACGGTGGGCCAGGCCGGGCCCCCACACTTCTGATCCTGGGTGAGCCAAGCAGAGGTGAGGCAAGCAGAGGTGGCCCCGCCTTCTGGGGCTCACCATGGTCTGGAGAGAGAGCGAGGGGGGTGTATCCTAATGAGAAGGGCACCTGAGGGGGCTGTGCAGGGAGGGAAGCCTGGCTGAGAGGGGGCCTGCGCTGTGGCCTTGAGGAGGAGCAGGAAGTAGGAGAGGCAGATGGGGACCTCGTCCTGAGTAAGGGAAGCGCCTGTGGAAAGGTGCTGAGCTGGAGGCAACCTGAGGGAGCAACGGGGCCTCCTCACCCCTGCCAGCCTCACCGCTGGGGCCTCAGAATTGCCAGGACAGGACCGCAAGGCACACCACAGCCCAGAAGCGCCCCAGGTCCCCAAGAAGAGCATTTTCCTCTCAGCTCCGGGGCTGTCCTGGTCCTGGCTTCCCTCCAGGGCAGAGCAGCACACAAAGCCGGCTCTGTGGCCAGATGCAGGGGAGAGCTGAGGAGGGAGTCCTGCCAGCAACACCTCCCGGGTGTCGGTGCCCACCCACCCCACCCAGGCATTTCTCCGAACCCTCTAGCTTGGCTTCCAGAAACAACATGGCCCTCTCCAAGCGCCAAAGAAAATAATGAGGGGGTGGAGGCGGAGAGGGGAGGGCATGGAGGCTCGGAGAACCCTTTCCATGAAAAGAAGCAGCAAGCTGTGTCCTCCACCTGCAGGGCACCTCTGTCAGCTCTCAGCTCGGGACCAGGACGGGAGAATGTCAGGCTCATAAAAATCTCTCGTCAGAACACCGGGCAAGCAAAGGGCCCTTCTTAGGTTGGCTCAAGTCGGAAATCAGCGGACAGAAAGCACACAGAGACTCAGGAGTGGCCGCACCATTGTCCCAGGAGTCCCTGCTGGCCACCAGGCACACCCCACTGGCCAGGAGGCCAGCTCCAGCCAGCGGCCAGGGAGCCAGAGAGGCAGTGCCAGCAGGCCCCTCACTCTCCCCACCAAGGCATAGCGGGCATAGAGGCAGTGACATTGGCCTCAGCCACCTGGCACGGTATCGAGCCTTTGAGCCACGTGCACATCGAATTCAGATGAAAAATTATAAATACATTAAAAAAATTTATTTTTGACTGCCCCTCGATCTACTCTAGGGGAGGAAAATCAATTTCTGGAAGGACTGGGAGCTTTAAGGGGAGCTTCCATTTCCGTCTTCTGAAATGCCCAATCCTACCTATTTGGGGGGATTTGAGGAACTTGAGAAGCTGGCATGGGGGTGTCGGGGAGCGGTACACCTCACAGGGCAGAGAACCCATCCCCTGCCTCGGGTCAGAGGCTCCAGGGCTCCCCTGGGGACAGTGGCAGCCAACGCAGCATTTAAGGGGGGATCAGACAGCCTCACTGCCATTAGCTCTGCAGACTAACTCGTGAGTGACCCTTTCTGTCGTCCCCGTGACCTGGGCCGTCAGCGGTGTTGTACTCTGCTCCCTGCCTCTCTCCGCGGGCCTTCTTATTCTCTCTGGCTCTCCAACTGCCTCCCCCCTCGTTCCCTGTTTCATCTCTTCTCTGCGCTGAGCCTGAGGACCAGGGTGATGGAAAGGGAAGAGTAACGGCTTTCAAGTTCAGACTGGGGTTCAAACCCCAGCTCTGCCACACACTGGCTGTGGGATCGCAGGCACGTCCTCCGCGACCCTCAGCTTCCTCATCTGTGACCTCCCAGGGGACGGGGACCAAACTCTTCTTTACCCTGACTCCTTCCCACACGAGTTCTTGCTTTGCATAGAGCAGGTGTTCGATGATCATCTTAATAGAGGCATTAAACTCTCCCGGGCTCCGTTCTAAGTGCTTTTATGTAGATTCACTCTTCTGATCCACAGAACAGCTCTAGGATGCAGGCGCCGCCATTCTCCCCATCTTACCAGTGAGGAAGCCGGGGCTCGTTGTGGAATGAAGGGCCGCATGAATGAGCACTATGGCGATCTCGAGAATTATTTATGTCCAAGAGCCTGACCGGGTACCTGGTACCTCACCTCTTCCGTATCCTGTGTCCGCCACCCTTTCTGTTTCTCCTGCATTGTACCCCAGGCCAGGCACCGCCGCTTCCCCGCCTCCCAGAGAGGATGGCGCCCCCTCTGTCTGAGTGTGTACGGGGGTCCTCTGAAGGAGGGAAGGGGCACTGGTCCTAGGATAGAATTTCTTTAAAACACCCTAGCAGCGGTTCTCAACCCGTGGGTCGCGACCCCTGAAAATACATCCTGCATATCAGATATTTACATTACGATTCATAACAGTAGCAAAATTACAGTTATGAAGTAGCAACGAAAATAATTTTATGGTTAGGGGTCACCACAACATGAGGAACTGTATTAAAGGGTCGCGGCATTAGGAAGGTTGAGAACCACCGTGAAACAACACTGCAACCAATCCCCCCTTTCCTCCAGAGAAATCTGTTATGGAGACCCACAGTCTGCTGGTCTCTGGGCAACGTCTCACCAGCCCTCGGCCCTGCCTCCAGGTGGCCAGAGGCGGTGCACAGACCAGGAGCGAGTGTTGGCAACTGTCCATAGAGCAGAGAGAATCAAATCAGCTTCAGGGGGTGCCCGGCACACAGGAGGCATTTAGTAACTATTGAACGGATGGGTAGTTTCCTAGGTGCCACACAGCCTCTATGTGTTAACCCCAATGCAAACAGCCCTGTGTGTTGGGCACATAATCCTCACTTTACAGATGAGGACACTGAGGCTTAAATTTCTATGGACCTGGCCCCAGTGGGAAGCGACAGAACCAGGATTTGGACCAGGCCTGTCAGGCTCCAAAGCCTGTGATCTTGACACCATGTCGTCTGAAGGGCCTTGTTCTTTCTTTCCCCTCTAACTCCCCTCTTTCTAGGCACCCAACTAGGCCTGGACACTCCCAAGCACAATGCCCCTGTCACTCCCTCTTCTGCCCTCATGTCCACCCACAGGATACAGTCCCCTCTGGTTTTTACTGCAGAATGGAAGGTGGCCTGGGCCCCAGCAGAACCCATCCCCACCCCCCACCCCCTGCCAGGGCTGGAGCCGCTTTCAACTCGTGGGCAAGGGATGAGGATGCTGATGTACCCGGGGCCGCCTTCGGGGACCTTCCCAAGGCTCTCCCAGGGCCATCGTCCCTCACTTCCCTCTCCTCCGGTGCAGCCTGCGACTCCTACTGGACATCCGTCCACCCCGAGTACTGGACGAAGCGCCACGTCTGGGAATGGATCCAGTTCTGCTGCGACCAGTACAAGCTGGACACCAACTGCATCTCCTTCTGCCACTTCAACGTCAGCGGCCTGCAGCTGTGCAGCATGACCCAGGAGGAGTTCGTGGAGGCGGGGGGCATCTGCGGGGAGTACCTGTACTTCATCCTCCAGAACATCCGCTCCCAAGGTCGGTGCCCGGAGGGTGGGGCTGTGGGAGGGGCCGAGGCCTGGACCAGAGGACCCGTCAGGTCCCTCCCTGCCGTGGGACTCCCAGCGCAAACTTCCCCCACTGGCATTTTCTGTTCGGCCAAATCCCATTAACCAAAACCTCTCAGAAACCGGAAGCGCTAGAATGACAGGATCAGAGGTTGTAGGTGAAAGGGAGCAGGATACAGGAAGGCAAGTTGGGTACATTTTTCAAAAGAAAAAGGGAAATTGAAAATAGCATTCAGGGACCACCCGGGCTATACAACAAAATAATGTATTATGTTCATAAAGATTGGCAGCTAAAGCCTGGCTGGCGTGGCTCAACCTATGAATGTCGACCTATGAGCCAGGAGGTCATGGTTCCGGTCACAGGGCACATGCCCAGGTTGTGGGCTTGATCCTCAGGAGGGGGCGTGCAGGAGGCAGCCGGTCAATGATTCTCTCTCATCATTGATGTTTCTATCTCTCTCCCTCTCTCTTCCTCTCTGAAGTCTATATATATATATATATAATATATATATATATATATTTTTTTTTTAAAGATTGGAAGCTATAAAGGGTAGACACAAAGAGGTTTCTGCTTGACCTTTCATTACACAGAAGAGAAGAAAACTAACTAGACCCTTTTCCTTCCCGTTTCCGAGGGAGTCAGACCGTTGTTTTATTTGATCCCGTTCCTAATGGTCCAGGACCAAACAGCCTGAAGGTGGCTCTAGGCACATGACTCACCGCTCCAGCCTGCTCCGCAAGCGGACAGGGGTTTTGAGCACGTATAATTCTGTGTTCTGTGTCACAGATAAAGGAACGGAGGTCCCGAGCGGTCATGTGGTTTCTGCAAGGTCACGCAGCAAAGGGAGATGATTCATGGGAAGTCAGTACAAAGCCAGGGCTTTGAGATCAGGAAGATCTCAAACCTGGTCCCAACCCCAGTTCCAACCCCTCGAGCCGTCAGACTCTCTGAATGTCCCCAGCCTAGTCTGTATGATGGATGGTACTCACCTCCACAGGCCCCTAGACAGGGGTCGGGGAAACGTTACCTGGCGCAGCAGACAGGGACGCCAGCGGCGTAAGTGACAGCTGTCCTTGTCCGTGTGAATATAACCAAGGGCCAGACAGTTTTAAAAACAAACACATCTCAGCTCAACTTGAGGAAAAGACCTTTCTGAAAGTTAGCACCTTCTTTTGGAAAAGCTGCTTCAGAAGATACCAAAGGTAGGAAGCTCCCTGTCGCTGGAGATAATCAGGGAGCCTTGCAGCCCCCTGCGTGGTGGGGCTGCTGCGGCAGGATTCCTGCTTGAACAGAAACCCACAGAGACCTTCGAGGTCTGGGGTTCTTTGCCCTCCCCCTTGATCGGCTCCCATCACGCCTGTCTGAGGGCAGGAGAGCTAAGGATGGTGGCCCTCGGGCACTGCTAAGCTTCTGCCCTGAGAGCCACGGCCCACCAGGAGCACGGAAGGGACAGGCAGACCTGCCGTCCATCGTTGTCCAGCCTCTGCCTCACTATCACCCGTGACAGTGACCTGCCAGGAGCCGGGAGCAGAGGCTGCACTTAGAGTAAGCCCTCCCTGCACAGGGGCAAGTCAGCAGGTCACAGCGGCTCAGGGAGGAACCTGCCCGAGGGGCGGCCTGGCACACGGATCCCAGGCCAGGGAGAGGGTATGCCATCCCAGAGGAGAGCGCGGCCGGCATTGCCAGCCGTAGCCAAACGTCAGGTCGATCAAGTTCATCTCCAGGCCCCAGCAGCCCTGTGCTGAGGTCTCCCAGCTCGGACACCCCCCTGCCCTGGCACTTGTTACATAAAAACAAACACACACAAACCTGGTCCATTACCTCAGGGTCTGAGCAGAACAAATAAGCTAAGAACCAACTCTGTTTGAAACAGGCCATACGTTGCCTCTTCTCATTCTAAGAACTGTCTGGGGCCACGGGGCCACCTGGAACGGTGGGGTTCAGGCACGCGGGGCCAGGGCAGTTATCATGCTGGGCAGCAAAGCCCTCGGCTCCACCGCCCTGCCCCCCTCTCGGATTCCTCCTTCCATGCTCCTCAGACGGGAGCATTGCTGTATATTGAAATATGTGCACCGTGGCCGACCTTTACCACGTCCCAGTCTGCCCAGGGTACATTGTTTTCACCTGTTATCCTGGAAAACTTACTATGAGTGCTGTGTTTCATTCTCCATTTTGGACAGTAAATTATAGGGAGAACTGCTTGTTACCTGGTTTAGGCCTTATCTTACCCCGTAGATTAGGGCTCTGGCAGACAAGGACACAAAACAAATGCTCTTCAACAGGAAAGGAGCCACAGGGAGCTCCGGGGCCCCACATGCTGCCTGGCTCAGTCGGTTCAGGAGGACTGAAGGGCCCGGAAACATGGGACACGGGTCACTGGCAGGAGAGATCAGCAGGCAGCAGGGTGGAGGGTGGAGGAGAGGAGCAGCCCCTCACCAGTCCCCCTCTGGTCTCGGCAGCCCATTGGGCAGAGTGAGCTGAGGCACGTGGCTGACCAGAACCAATCAGAGAGCGGCACTAGCAATACACAGTCACACATGTGCCCTCCCTGTGCCAGTCACCTTCGTAAACGGAAGGTAGTCCTCACATCGGCTCCCCAGCCAGAAAGCAGGAGTGCTTTGGCCTGTGCAGCTTCATGAAAACATGATCTGAAACTCCTAATCCACCCCCAACCCACCCATTTTTCAGACAAGCAAACCGAGGCCCGGCAGTGTCCCGAATCCTCATTCAATCCGCAGAGCAGGTTGTGCTCTTCTCGTGGCCTCCTATGTTCATTTTCCCCTTTGACCGGCACCCAACACGCATTCCAATCCCCGGGGAATTAGAGCCAAGTCATAGACCACAGACTCTTAGACCAAACGGGCGTTCAGTGGTGGCTTTGCCAATGAGGACCATGAGCCCGGAGACTGTGACTGGACAAGGCCTCACAGGGGTCAGTGGCCCAGCCCAGCTCAGAGCCCAGGCCTCCTGGCCTCAAGCCAGGACTCATTCCCAGTGCCCGCTGGGAAAATCTTAGAGGCTGCTGGGAGCGCACTGACCACCAGGGGGCTCTCTCCAGGTGGCCTTTACAGACAAGGTGGTCACCCCTCAGGGCTGGCTTCATGTGGCCCTATAAAAACCAGGTGGCCTCCAAGATCCCACAGAGAGGACAATCCCTCCCTTCCTCCTGGCGTCTCTCGGGCCTGGCCAGGGGAAACCACGATTGCATGACATGAGCTGTGCTTTGCTTTTTCCTTCCCAGGTTACTCCTTCTTCAATGATGCTGAAGAGACCAAGGCCGGCATCAAAGACTGTGAGTAGCCCAGGTCCAGCTGCCCGAGGCTCTGCTGCGGCCGCTGTTGGGCAGGGGGCTGATCGCTTTTTCAGGACCACCCTGAGAGGGTGACGGCCTGAGACAACCCCAGGCCAGGAGAAGGCAGGAAAAAATGTGGTGGACAGAGCCTGGGCTGGGGCCTGTGATCTCCTAGCCTACCCCAGGCTCAGTTTCCCTGTCTGAACATTGTGGGTAAGATCCAGAAACAGTGCATACAGAGCGCCTGGCATGCGCCAGCGGCATAGATGCTCCAAAACTGGTGTCCGCGAGCAACAATCATCCTAATGACTGACCGCTAGAGGCCTGTGGTTGAATCCGAGCTCACTTAGCAGGCCGAGTGTATAATGATAAGGTGATGGAGGCCCGCAAATGGCCTGATTCATTCTGAAAATAAGCGCTCGCTGTTTTGCTCTTGCAGATGGAGGTTCAGGAAAGAGAATTTTGTGGCTTTGGCCTGGGGACCAGGATGTAGGCCCTGGGCAGGCCCCTCCCCTCCCGGACTTCAGCTCATTCATCCGCAAAAAGACAGGGTGTATGGTGATTCCAGAGAGGTGCAAGCTGAGGGGCAGACGGACAGATCGTTTCTTATGATTTATTTTTTCTCTCCTTAAAGTCCCAAGCAGTCACCTGAGGATTCAGATGGTCTGGTTGATGAAGGGCTTTTTCTTCAGTTTGAGTGCAGGCGGCCAGGTGCAGGAACCACGTGCTGTGGGCTAAGGCAGGCGCCCCGTGCCCCACGGAACACGGAGCCCTCACAAGAGCAGCTCTGCGTTCCCCGTGAACAAAGCTCCCACCGAGCTCCCTGGCTCTGGTGGAGCCCCTTCTCACCCATTTGCAGCCATCAAACCCCAGCTTTCACCACCCAGCCCAATCCAGGCGTAGCCCCTAGAAGAATTGAGCCCACTGAGGCCCAGGGGCCATTCCTGAGTCTGAGGCCCAAGGCTGGAGCCCAGGGCAGGCCCCTGCTCTCTTTTCTAAGCAGCCGTGAGTTTGACCTGACCACTCCTTTCTCAGGGTCAGGTCTCCACTTATAAAGGGGTGTCTATTTGTCAGCCTGCCTTCCTCACAGCATAGGAGGAGGAGAGGCTAGGAAGGAATACTGTGTCCCATAAGTTCTTTAGAATATATACTGAATATATAACTAGCCATAACTAGAGTCAGGACAAGAATACTAATACTAGCAGCTAGCTTTTATTGAGTGCTTACTGTGAGCCAAACCCTGTGCTAGAATCTTTACAGACATTGTTTCGGGTCATCTTTCCCATAACCCTGTAAGGCAAGTCCTAGTACCATAGCCTTTTCACAGGGGTAGAAACGAACGCTTAGTAGGGTGAGGTGACAAAGTTAGAAGGTGACAGATGACCCGGGTGTGTCTAAATCTGAAGCCCTGGATTGCTTTGCTTCCTCATCCATCTCTTTCTTTCTCTTTTCTTCCATTCATTCATTCATTCACTTGATAAACATCTATTGAACACCTACTATGTGCCAGGCCCTGAGCTAGGCACTGGTCTCTTTGCTTTCACCTGTGTTCCTTCCCGTCTGTTCTCCATTCACCAGCCAGAGGGATCTTCTTAAAATGTGAATCTTGTCCAACTCCAAAGTCTTCACTTTACTCTTAGAATAAAATAGCGAGTTCTGCAAAGAAGGCCCTACGTGACCTGCTGGCAGCCCGAGCACGCTATCCCTCCTCCACTCGGCTCCTTCTCATCTTTATCTCTCTGAGCAAATGTCTCCTTTTCACGAGACCCTCCCAGGCCACCCTATCTAACTTACCTCCTTTCCTCCACTTTCCCTCTCTATCCAATGTCTGGTTTCCTTCACAACACTTCAAAAAAACAGGGGCAATTTGTTTGTTCCATCTATGTTTTCCCTTGGCCACTAGTCCTTAAACCCCACATGATCAGGGACCAAGTCTGTCTCATTTGCTCTTGTAACCACAGCATGGAGCCCAGACCTGGCCCAGAGCAGGTCCCCAGTGTTGGGTGCAAACTCTCCTGAAAGACAAATACTGAGTCTTCGGCATCTTTGCACCTCCCACCTACTAATCATCCCCAAAGCGCCTAGCGTGGTGCCGCCTCCCAGAGAGGTGTTCCATCCATGTGCCCACTCGGGTGTGACTTGAGGCCTGCATGTGGCCTCTCCATTCCTTCCTACAGCTGTGACTCATTCTGTTCCAGATGCTGATTCCAGTTGCCTGAAAACAAGTGGCATCAAAAGTCAAGACTGTCACAGTCACAATCGAACGAGTAAGTGTAGAGACACCCTTTTCATTTCTAACTTCCTAAAGCCATTCACGAGGCAAGGCCACCTGGTCTCACAGACTTTGAAACTGGCTGTTTACGTGGGACCCATTATTTCCCGCTTAGAAGTCAGTACAGAAATTGACAGGGATTTTGATGAATGCTGTCAAATTCACATTGGTTTCTTTCTCACTTGGGAATGGCACTGTAAGAATTAAAATGAGGAAGTAAAGACAGTGTCTAACCATGAAGAGGAAAGGTTTATTTGTCCTGGTCTATTGGCCGGGGGGGGTGGGGGTGGGGTGGGGGGGGGCGTGGCAAGGGGGGAGGTCTTCACACTGAAGTGCTCAGGGGCAGCAGCAGAAAAAAACACCAGGAGTTGGCAGTCCTGTTAGCCTTTCCTGGAACTGAGACAGACCTACCCGGTGCCGCCCACCTGCTGAGCTTGGTTCTGGCCACTTGATCTGTATTAAATCCTAACCCTCTAACCTCCACTATGAAGTAGGCACTCTTATTATCCCATTCTACAGGTGACGAGAGAGGTTGCAATGACAGAGCTAGGAAGAGGTCAGTCCACGCCCCAATCCCAGGCAGCTGGACTCCAGAACCAGCCGAAGCCACAATACAGTGGAACAAGGGAAATACCAGCTTTTTGTGAAAAAATCTAATTGTAGGATTGGTCCACCCGGACAGTTGTGGCTGTGGGAGCCTGATACAGCCCACTGCCTGTCAGAAAGAATGAAAAGATTGTTTCACGGTCATTTCATGAATTCCTATAACCCTTGTAAGGCAAGTCCTAGTGGTGCCACAGAGCAGGGCAAGGCCACGGTACTGCTCGTCCGTGCGTCCCCAAATGTCAGTTTTGAGACAGATGTTTCCCAGCTCAGCGAGGTTCCGTCCTAACCCCACAAGGCAGCAATTCTCGTGTTCTCATGGGTTCATGAGAAGTGGCACAACTCTCTTAAACTTTAAAAAAAAAAAAATTAAGTCACCTCCTTTCCTTCCGAAGGCCTCCAAAGTTCTCACCTCTGGGAATTTGTGCGCGACCTGCTCCTGTCTCCCGAAGAAAACTGCGGCATCCTGGAGTGGGAAGACAGGGAGCAGGGCATTTTCCGGGTGGTGAAATCCGAGGCCCTGGCAAAGATGTGGGGACAAAGGAAGAAAAACGACAGAATGACGTACGAGAAGTTGAGCAGAGCTCTGAGGTGAGTTAACGGCCACGAAATGCCACGAGCCTCCGGGCGGTTGCATCAAATGGCCAGCCCTGGGACGGTAAACTGCTTCTGCAGCTTTTTTTTTTCTTTCGTGATGATCGAAAGGTCATGAGACAACACTCCGCTTCTTAGTTCCAGGTGGGATTATGGTCTGTAAATGGACACGCCGTCCTTTTCATTCTTGGCAGTGTTCCCGGGGATCACTGTGCATCCGGCCACCACACACACACGCACACACACACACACACACACACACAGAACACGTTCGGAGCTGAATGTGGGAGGTTCTGTAGTTGAGGTGTCTGGGAAAGCTTTCAGTGTAAGCTGAGACCAGGGTGTGAAAATACCAGGGTAACCAGAGCCCAGGCTGTCCCCTGAGAAGAATGGGGAGAGTGTTTATGTTCCGGTGCTGGCCTGGGGTGCAAGCCCTCCCCCTGGTTCTCGTCTGCTGTCTTTCTCAGGTACTACTATAAAACGGGAATTCTGGAACGGGTCGACCGAAGGTTAGTGTACAAATTTGGAAAAAACGCACACGGGTGGCAGGAAGACAAGCTATGACCGGCTCCATCGTCTGGCTCCTGCTGATGGATCTCTGAAAGCAATCACGTCGCAATAGACATTTGCAAGTCTTGTTTTTCGGTTTGTTTGTTTTTTAAACGTGCAAACGTGCTGATAAAGTTTCTCCACATCTCCGCTTACATTTGGATTCAGAGTTGTTGTTGTCTCCTCACGGGTGATGGCAGCAACTCTTAAGAAATCCCGCTGCTTTTTTTTTTAACCAAGGGGGGGGGGACCTTTCCTGGTACCTTGAGCAAACATGGCTTCCCTATTCGAGAGGCACAGAACCTCAGCAGCCAGAGGCACGGGTGCAGCTCAGAGGAAAGGACCCAGCTCTGCCTTTAGACCCACCCGGTGCTCCCATCCCCAAAGCTCCAAAGTTCCCACACACTTAGCTGTGGCAACTCACAAAGGGAAGAAGTGATTCGTTCGTATTTAATGTAACAGGAAGGGGTGACGTGCTAAGACAAACATACTGTAGGTTTTACATCGTTAAAATAAAATCCCATAGAAAAGCTTCTTAATTAGTGGAAGGGCTAAGCCATCCAGCTGAGCATAGGTTAACAAGACGTTTCTCAACCAGCACATCTTCATGACCACTCATCAACACTCCCACGGCTTCCTTACCGAATAACACACTAACCATTAGACACATTCTTCATTCTTGCTGAGTTTATTTCCCTTTTCTCCTGCTTGGGGGGGGGGGGGGGCATCCGACAGGCAAAGGCACTTGCATCAATTTCCAAATCACGGCTGTTTCTATGACTCAAGCTGTCAACACGATGAAATCATAATTCGTTGATTCTGTCCGTGCCCAATGGAAATGTCCTGACAGCTCAGTCACAGCCAATGAAATTGAGTCTCTTCTGTGTTGCCTTCCTACCTGATGTGTCCTCAAGCTCCAAAACATATTTCCTTGACAGAAATGGCGACCAAACGCTCACAGGTTACAGGGTGCACTGACAGTCTCATGGGCCACTGGTAGGGATGCCATTAATGACCTCCAACTAGGTGGACGGCCGGGACTTCTATGCCACCAGAGCAGGAAGCTTCGTGTGGCGAGGCACTGCACACCACAGTCCTGTGCTGAGGACCTCCATGCTTAGAGTTTAACTTCAAAAGCAACTTGTGTGAGCCCAGCCAGAGTGGCTCAGTTCGTTGAGTGTTGTCCTGTGCACCTAAAGGTCACCAGTTCAATTCCAAGTTAGGGCACATAACAGGGTTTCAGGTTCCATCTCCGGTCAGGACACATATGGGAGGCAACCAATGGATGTTTCTCTCTCACATTGATGTTTCTCTCTCTCTCTCTCTCTCTCTCTCTCTCTCAGCATGTCCTCGGGTGAGGCTTAAAAAAAATAAAAAGGAACTTGTTTTTAAAAAAAATGTGAATGACTGTAAGATAATCTGTTTTTGGACTCATGTGTTTCCCAGGTGGATATAGTTTGTAAACAATGTGAATAAAATATTTAACATGTTGAACTGTCTCTGTTTTTTAACTTCAGCAGAACATACCCAGCAAAGCACTGGCAGCCTAAACCTTTGAGGACCCTTCCGTTGGTTTCGTAGCTTAGGAGATGGGGAGTTTTAAAGTGCCCCAAGATATGCAAGAAATATATGGAGTAATCCTACCTCCATAAGACAGAGGTCCCCTCAAAAAACAGCCCTAGTCAGTATGGCTAAGTGGATAGAACGTCGGCCTGTGGACCAAAGGGTCCCGGGTTTGATTTCAGTCAAGGGCATATACCTGTTTCAGGCTTCTCCCCGGCCCGGGTCCTGGTCAGGGCGTGTGCAGGAGGCTACCAATCGATGTGTTTCTCTCACATCGATATTTCTCTCTGTCTTTCCCTCTCTCTTCCACCTCTCCCTAAAAATCAATGGAAAAATATCCTCAGGTGAGGATTTTTTTTTTTTAAAAAACCGCATGGGCCAGTGAGGCCGAGATATGTTTTTGTGTGGTGCACACATACACAAAAACTCTTTTTTTGTTGTTGTTCTGATTTTTGTTCTGTGTCGTACTATGAATTAGTTTCCTTGATTACAAATCAGGAGATTTACAGAAAAATCCAGTTTTCCCATTTCTTATAAAAACCAGACCTGGCAGCACTGGTTTCCCGGTGTCTGGAGCTGTGTGGAACTCTCCCTTTGGGCAGAGCCTCCAGGCACCGCCCCCCTCCGCCTTCCAGCCCTGCTCTTGCACTACTGTGGTTGGTTTGTTAGTTTCATGCATCCAGAGAGCTTGCACATGTTTAATTTGGGCTCCCTGTCCTGGCCGCCTAAAAAGGTAGGTACCATATTAATGCACTGGGTCAGAGCCCACAGCCCGGCTGAGAGTGTCCAGGAAACTGGACCTGAGGGAACAAGAGGGGCACTGGGAGCTTTCGGGCAAAGAGCCTGGCAGAACCAAGCAGCTCAGGGGACGGCAGGGACTGGGGTGGGGGCAGAGCAGGCAGCACTGAACAGGACTGGGGAGCAACGCACAACCTAGGAGATGCTGTCCTACCCCCAGAGGGGGCATCAGGCAACTCCGAGAACTCAAACAATGAATCCCTCTGCTACTCCAGAAGTTGTCGCTTTATAAAACCATTAAATCCTCTTTGTATCAGTTTCCTAAGGCTGACCAAGACAAATCACCAAATTTGATGGCTTGAAACATCAGAAATTGCCCTGGCCGGTGTGGCTTAGTTGGCTGGGCGTCTGTCTGGTGCACTGAAGGGGTCGCTGGTTCGATTCCTGGTCAGGGTACATGCCCGGGTTGTGGGCTCAATCCCCGTAGGGGACATGCAGGAGGCAGCCAATCCATGTTTTGCTTTCACATCGATGTTTCACTCTCTCCTCCTTCTCCCTTCCTCTCTCAAAAATCAATTTAAATATCTTTTAAAATTCCGTTAAAAACCTAGAAATTTATTTTCTCACAGTTCGGGAAGCTGGACGTCTGGTGTTGGCAGAGCCAGGCTCCCGGCACGGGCTCTCGGGATGGGCCCTCCTGGCCTGTTCCAGCTCCTGGGGGCTCCAGATGTTCGGTAGCTTGTGGCTAAAGCTCCCATCTAAAGCTCCCATCTCAGCCTCCCTCTCCTCCTCCCCTTTGCTCTCTGAGGACGCTTATCATTGGATTTAGGGCCTAGCTCATCTCAAGACCCTTAGCTTAATGACCTGCAAAGACCATTTTTCCAAAGCAGGTCGCCTTCCCAGGTCCCGGACGTTGGGACATGGACATGTCCTTTGGGTGGGGGCCATCATTCAGCCCGCTCTGCCCTTTAAAATGAGGGTTTTACTCCAGTGGGGAATGAAGTATGGTAGATAGTTTAACTTTAACCCCGTTGTTTGGCTTCTGTACTTATTTGCTTTAACAATAGAAAAGTTATTTTGGTTTTCTGAATTATATAAATCATCCCATTAGATTAAATACCCTATTGATTGTAATGTGAAATCCCATTTGTAGTGGTCATACTGGTCTTAGAAAGTACATTTTCCTTTACCTGGGAAGGACAGCACAGTTATCCCAAGATCAGAGGGCTCTAGTTAACGTGTCCTTGTTGACTCAGTGTTCCTGAGACCCAAAACTGTAATTTAGATAACATGCCTAAGTTTAACCCAGGTTACTAATTCCAGACCCGAGGGCTCTAGATAATGTGTTTCTGTCAATTCAGTGACCCTGAGACCCAAAACTATAATTTAGATAACATGCTGCTTCTGCTTCTGTAAACTGCTTTTTTGCAAACCAGGTTCCTCATTCCAAACCTTGAGATGTAATCAATACCTTTGTGATCTTTGCCTATATAAGTCCGGCTTTGCCATCATCTTATCACTATGAGATTTGGGAAAGCAAAATGGCCCCTCATAGTCCCGGATTGCAATAAATGTGACTCTTTCATTCGGAAAAAAAAAAAAATGAGGGTTTTACTTAAACATAGAGTTTCATAAGACAATTCATCCAAGAACAGAAAATACAACGGACTGTTTAAGATAGCACACTTTAAGCAAGCCATACCAAATAACTAAAAACAACAGAAAATGCAAAATTCACTTAGCAAACAGTCAAATGAGAGAATGCATATCCCCTCCGTAAAAAGGACCGCCATAGAGCTTTCCATAGCAAACTTCCCGGATGTTACTAGGAGAGAAGATGGTGGAGATAGCGAAGTAAAGGCAACTCTTTTCAGATACTTTTCAATAAAGGGGGCAATGACAGGAGAGGCCTGGGAGATGAAGAGAAGATCTGAGGAGACGCGTAACAGCAGGTCTGCACACCAAGGGGACTGATACGGAAAGAAGGGAAGAACTGGCGATTCGAGAGAGGGCGGGGGTAACTCCTGAGGAGGCAGGAGGCAGAGGACGGTGCGTGTGTGGGTCTGACCTCGGGTGGGAGCACAGTTCACCTCTGTCAACGGGAAGGAAAGAAGAGCAGGTGGCTGTCGATGCTGGCAAGCTGGGGATGCGGGTGGAGGGACAGATGGGGGAGTTATTCTATCCTTGGTGAATAAGGAGTTGAGAGGGCAGGGGGACACATGGAGAGCTTGCTGAGGACAGAGACTGACTTCCGCACAGCGCCGAGGGCCCACTTGAGGTTTGTGGTCACGTGTGTAAAAGCCCAGGCAGCAGGGCTGTGTTTGGCTCCAGCCACAGTCATCTCAGCCCAGGAAGAGGCGTATTTTACCAGGCTGCGTCTGGAGTAACTAGGACTTTAAAGCATAAAATGTAAACACAGTAAGAAGGGAAAGTAATGGCATGAAGAGGGTGATGACCAGTGAAGTTTCTGGGAATGTGGAAAACTGATGGGAGGGGAAGTCTGTGCTAAATTGTTCAGATATGTTCACACACATGCACACACACACGAGTGAGCGCACGTGCGCGCGCACACACACACACACACACACACACACACACACACAAAACAAACAGCTCCATGGGCAGAGTACACTTCCTCACCCTTTGACTTTGGGCTTAACCATATGAGTTGCGTTGGCCAATGTCGGTGAGCATCATAAAAATCAAGGCTTGAGCCCCAACTGGTTTGGCTCAGTGGATAGAGCGTCAGCCTGCGGACTCAAGGGTCGCAGGTTCGATTCCGGTCAAGGGCATGTACCTTGGTTGTGGGCACATCCCCAGTAGGGAGTGTGCAGGAGGCAGCTGACCGATGTTTCTCTCTCATAGATGTTTCTAACTCTCTATCCCTCCCCCTTTCTCTCTGTAAAAAATCAATAAAATATATTTTTTTAAAAAATCAAGGTTTGAAACACCTGTGCAACTGTCATCCCATTTCCCGAGAAAGGAAAAACTGTGTGTTTCCTTTTCTTGCATTCTTGCTCTTTTGCCATCGTTGCTGGCTAGCCATCACCATGGGTAGCATGTATCTTAATGTCACTTAAAAGGGATATAATTCAATAGTGCTTCCTAGGAAGTAAAAGCTACCTGGGGAAGTTAACCTCGCCAGTATTTATCTTTGAAAATCACAAAAGAGGTCTCCAGAATAAAACTGGAGGCACTTCTATGTGTCAGACTTTTACACACAAGAAACATGATAGATACATGTGATTTTAACTATGAACTTATTTTTATACTACAGAACAGAACAAACCAGAAACTTATCTCAAAATTTCTGTCTTTGTTTATAACCAATATTTAAGTCAATAACCTCTTTCCCATTGTCAAGTTATATGAATTTTTATCAGTTTATCTTATATATTATATTTCATACTATCGAGAGATATAACTATAGTGAAGCTACTATATTGAAAGTATTCACCAATACTTGGAAAGTGGGTACAAATGGATACATTTACTTTCTACGTGTAAAAATACAACAGTTTCCAAGTGCACTCAAACATCAGAGGAATTTAGGCAGGAGAGTCTGATAGAAGAATAAAGAAGTTTGAGCTCAAAGACTGAGAATTTGTATTGCTAGAGGTCTCAAGAAAGCCGAAGGTCTCAGGGCATTCCTAAGAGTGGTACAAACCGGTTTTGAAGATCTGAGATGAAGGGAATGAGCATTTAAGGAAAATAGGTTTTCACTTAGTATTCAGAATTTAGCTTTAAAGTATTCCACTTGACTTTCGAGCAAACATGGGTTTTAAGAAAAGAACTTGAGGTTCTGAGCCCTTATTTTAAAAACTCATAAGCAGATGGGGAAATAAGCTAATGAACAAGAGATCGAAGTAATTTTCAAAGGTGGGCAGTTTGCTACTTTTATAATATAATTAAAGTTCTGGTCCACAGGGTCTTAAGGCAAATAACATAGTATCC